AGAAGAATCCAGGCACCTGGAGCGAAAACAAAACTGGTCATCAGTCACTTTCTCTCGGTACTCAGAGCAAGTGGGATGACAAGCCTGCTGTTTGCTGGCAGCTCACCAGGACTTCAACCCCCGTGGCTTCCCTAGTTAACTCACCTGTGGAATTCCTCTTTCCCAGCCCCAGATGGGAAAGTGTGTTCATCCAGCCTACAGTCAAGGCTTCAAACAAAATTAAAAAGAGGAGGGATTCCCCTACATCTTATAAAATTACCTTGTTGGCTTTTAGTCTCTCTACCATGCAAGTGTGAAAAGAATCTATCAAACCTGAGAATAGGTGAATAAATCTGAAGCTGTTGGTAGTATTATATGGGCATTGGCGCTGCCTTCCTCCATTGCATTTATGCCATTTAATTCTACCAATTTAATAGAAGCCTGCTTGTTTTCCCAGTCACATATGCAAGGTGCTGCAAGGTGATTGACTGCTGCAAGGTGATTGATAAATAGCACTTTCCTGGGATATAGTGAGTTACTTGTTCAAAGGATATTTGATAAATTTGGGGCCTTATTTGTTTGACATTTGGAAAAATAATCCACACATATATAGATATATGTTCATTTAAAAAAATGTTCATTTGTTCTGAGGAAGGAAGGAAGGAAGGAAAGAAAGAAAGAAAGAAAGAAAGAAAGAAAGAAAGAAAGAAAGAAAGAAAGAAAGAAAGAAAGAAAGAAAGAAAGAAAGAAAGATCTTTTTAATATTATTCCACTAACTGGTTCAGAGTTACATGATCATTAGCAGTTTTTTAATCTCAGTTTTACCTCTAGATTATTCCTATTCCATTAATATTTACAGGTAATCCTCAATTTACAACCACAACTGAGCCCAACATTTCTGCTGTTAAGTGAGACATTTGTTAAGTGAGTTTTGCCCCATTTTACAGCCCTTCTTACAACAGTTGTTAAATGAATCACTTCCATTGTTAAGTTAGTGACATGGTTATTAAGTAAATTTGGCCTCCCCATTGACTCTGCTTGTCAGAAGGTCATAGAAGGTGATCGCATGACCGTCTGACTCAAATATGAGTCAGTTGCCAAACATGTAAATTTTGATCACGTGACCATGGGGATGCCTCAATGGTCGTAACTCTGAAAAATGGTCACTTTTTTCAGTGCTGTTGTAACTTTAAACGGTCAGTAAATGAACTGTTGTAAGTGGAGGACTACCTGTATTCAATTGCTATTTGCCATATGTTAAATAAATAAATATTCAATTTCTATAGCTGCCATCTCAAACAAGTGATTCTGGGCATGAAACAATTAAAAACAGTTACAACATAGTACAAAATTATCTATGGCAGCTGAGAAAAAAATGCCAAGATAGATGTCAATGCAGCCAGGAAACACGTCCCATATTTGGGGTCCCAGATCTTCAAGGCCTTATGAAAGACCAACAGGATCAAGGTCATCCTCCCTTCTGAAGTCAGAACAATATGAGATAATAATAATTTATTAAACTTGTGTGCCACCCTACTCGGGGTGGCTCTCAACAATTAAGGAAATTACAATAACATCTATAAAAGATTTGTTTTATTGTTGTGTGTATTTCACATGTATACACCTATGTCATGTGTATTTTTTTAAGAAAAAATGTATAGAATACATGTGCAGTCATACCTGATGTCTAAAATGTAAGGGATTTGCTTTCATCTTCATTATCTATCAGACTTTCCTTAACCATTCATCTATATTTGAAAATGAATTATTTTTCCTGTGGGACTGTAGCTATAAGCAATATGCTTCCAACCCGTATTCTGTAACACATTTATCCATAGATACCCAAATGAGATTTGAAGTGGATTCAGTGCCCAGAAACATTTTAAAAGTGTGGGGGGGAGGGAGAAACACTATTGTCAGTCCTTTATTTTGTACTGATAAAAATTAAATTTTCAGATAATAAAAACTTCAGAGGCATCAGTTGTAACACTGTCTGATGGACCTCAAGAGCTGCAGAAGAGAAATAGGTAGCATTTATCTCCTCTTGTCACAGTTTCATAGATTTGCTGGTTGCTATCTGACTTTATTGCTGCAAGAAAATAGAATTCTTTTATCCAAATAATGTATTCAAAAGGATAGCCATCAGGTTTTCTTCGTTGGACAAGTAAAAAATGTGAATTTATTGAGTTTATCGAGCCATTAATATCTTTTGGAAATAGCATTTCAGTATGTTTAAATGGATTCATGGTGAAATTCCTAAATGGAAAAATGATATTATTTCAGACATTAAGGATTGGTTTGGGGAAATATGTAAGTTATCCTTTTTGGAAAAGGTAGTGTTACAACTGATGAGAAAATAAACCAACATGTTTTTCTTTGAGATAATTTTTCATGATATTGTGCAACAATACAATAGCACTTTTAAATACTTTTTTTTTACTTTTTTCTATTTGTCATTAGTATAGCATTATAAAGTACTTTTTTCAGATCAGCATTACCATTGGTGAAGAAAAGAGAAAGAAACTGAAGTAGGACATGGTTTTGGATCTTGGCCAGGAAGGGCCAGGCTAAAATGTACAATTCATTAAAAGGGCATTGTCAAACACCAGGGAAATCAGGAGATTCAGGTAGTTCAAATGAGTATAAAAATTTATTGCAAGCTTAAGCTTTCTACAAAAATCTGACCTATTAACAATCTCGAGAAATGAGCAGGAATAAAAAGATATTCAAGTGGGCTGGACTTAGATCTCTCATAGGCGCGTAGGGACTTGTGACTTATGACACATTTGACCCTCCCCCCTCAGGCTCAGCCTGGTCATCTCCTATAGACTTTTTGTTACTGAAGATTTTTTCAGAGGTGAAAGATCACATTTACACACCCTGTCTCTTTGGCAGTTCAATTTGCAATCCCTGCACAAGACCAAGCTGCTACCAGTTCTGATACCGACGTTTTTGAGGGGGAAGATAGTTGTACGACTAATGAGAGGCAGATATTGGTTCACCTAAAGATTATGAAAGGAAGAGTTATAAATTGGGGGTGTTCCTGACAAAGTAGAAGGATTGAAAATAGTTTCCTTCCTGCTATCTGTTGTCTTGAAAGAGGAGGGGTAAAACTGGGGAGATTCTTACCAGTTTGAACCAAAGAAGAAACGGAAATCCCTCCCCCTTGCTATCTTCGGTCAGGTGGACAGACATAAAAGGAGGAAGGCATTACCCGTTTCACTCAAAGAAGAAGTGGAAATGGAAGGGGAGGCACAGTGTCTTGTGAAGTTGGCAAAGAGCTGGCAAAGAGAGAAACAATAAGAGCAAATTCAGAGAAGGAGAAGGAGAAAATAGAAAAGGAGGTGTGCTAGAACTGAATCTGGCAAGGCAGCAATGGAAAGGCGTTATGTCAACATAGTTGAACTACTTCCCACAATCATAAAGAAAAGGGCCAAGCATCTGTTAACTTAGAAAGGCAGAAGGAAAAGTCTTAGTCTAAAATTCTGAAGCTCAGACCTTATACTGTATAAAGGCTTGCCTTGTTTGCTCTGCCAATGGCAAACCATCTGTTCTGTCTAAGGCTTCCTTCTTGTCTGTGACAATGAAATATGGCTTCCATTCGTTGAAATGCTTAGGTAGAATTTTATATATATGTACAGTAGATATATCCATGAATATGTGACCTAGGTGTTTTTATTCTTTTTCAATTTTCTTTTCTTCTTTATAATTTTATACACTGTTCTTTCTCTCGCTTTGTTTTTGTATTCAGCCCATAACCATTTTAATTTGGTTGAATAATGTTGAGAGTGATTGCTGAATAAAGTTTTCAGTGTCTGGAAAGCTAAAGTTTACTATAGTATCCTGATGTGAAATTGTCCGAGGAAGGTTGTTAAAGAGTGCTGTTATTCCAGTCTTCTTCTGTCTAGTACAATTTACTAATCTGTTTCATCTTCAAGTCCTTGTGTTTACCAGTTTCACTTCTTCCAACAAATTATATAAAGGATTGGATTCATTTATCCTGGGACTGCTCTGTGCCATTTCCTCCTCAAACATAGCAATATTGCATATGTACAGCTTTTCTAAATGAAAGTAGTATTATTACACTCTTATTTTACAGCACATTTATTCTTCAAGATAAGAGACAGTTTGATTCTCACCTTCTGTGTCCTATTATTAGTTTCTGCTGGTATGAATTGAATGTGACAGAAAAAACAAAACATGATTTACCAAGACATGAGAAAAATGAAATTCTTCAAATATATAATACCAAAAATGGAGTTCCGTTCCTAGAAATGGAACAGTCATTAAAAGGATGGGGGAAATGAACCAATTTTTTTTAAACCCTTCAGGACAAATACTGGAATTAAAAATGAACCACCAAAATATCCAGGATTCTAAAAAAAAATTTCAGTACTATTCATTAATGCAAACAGGCACATAGCTCCCTAGGGTAACTGATTAGGCCATGCTCCACCTCATTATCTACGGCTAATCAAGAAATGTACAAATGATACAGTGCATGGTTTACACATCTGGAGGAAGTCTTCACTTATGCCATATGGTCCTCAATTAGCACCGTTTAAAATGCACCAACTGAAAACCAACTTTTCTCTTTGTGAAAATAAATAGGATTATCATGAACCATGTAAAAGACATAATCAAATTGCCAGAAATAATATATTTCAAGTAAGTAGAACAGCAAGCAAAATAAATTACACTATTATTCCTCCTACTCAATGGAGAGGTTGCATTCACTTTTATGTAAATGGCAATCTGCAACTAAGAGCCATATAGTATTCTTTTTGTAGCAATTGCATCTGCCTTTTTGTCATATCTGCTATTGCACTGAGTGCTAAATAGCCTTCTCTAAATGCTTGATAAATTGTCATTTCTTTTTCTTTCAGAGTTCCTCCGAGATTTAAAGAAAAAAAAACATTAAGGAACAAAGAAGGAATGTGATTGGCCTCCGTACAGACAACTAGCTTGCATCTGAGGTTGGGGGGGAAATCATCACTTCAACATCATATTGTACTGTCATCATGAGAACATATCATTGCTTCTGGCTCCTCTTCTGGTTTGGTCCTCTTCACCAAAGTTATTCTACACCGTTATCCAAAAAAGCTACTGGTTTTCCAGAAAACCTAAAGGTTTTGGATTTATCTAGAAACAGCAGAAAGGAACTTAGTCGTTCCAAAAGAAGTTGGATGTGGAATCAGTTCTTCCTTCTAGAGGAATACACAGGCTCTGATTATCAGTACGTTGGCAAGGTAGGATACTTTAATTCTTTCCAAAAGTTAAAAGAAAATAGCATGGGATATTATTCTGCCACATGAGCTGTCTTTAATCAATGTCTCTTGGTAGATATTTCTGATAAGAGTACTTTGGGGAATATTCAATAGTTTAGCTAACACTTGAAAAAGATGAAAGAAATCGTGATACATAACCAAACATACCTATTTAAAATGAAATCTGTTATTTGATTTATTTTTCTTGACCTTGTTAAAAAAAAAATTCAGAAATTATACATTGCTGAGGTCCAACATAGGAAATTAAAACTTGTCCCTTTAATTTCAGCAGAGGGGCATTAACTTAATACTATTTAGGAACCTATTAAAAATGTCCTTTAGTAGAACTGTTTTCATGAAGACACATGTAAATATTTCTGCTTTTACATGCAAGTGAATCAGAAATGTATGTAAGGTTGCCACCACTGATCGTTAAATTAGTTGCCTGTAAATTAGAAAAAACTGTTGGAAGCCTAGTTTTCCCCCCCATTACTGCTGAATAATATCTTCTAGAGCCATCCAAATATCATTGGGCTAAAAGAAAGATAAAATAACAAATTTCACTCATAGACATTTGTAGGGGAGGCAAAAGGGTTTAAGTGACCATACGTGTCAAAATGTCACAAAGCATGCTCCTATCTAATACTAGCATGCAAATACAAAAACAGAGGGTTTGTCTTATGATGATGTGATTATTGTTTTTTTTTAAATTTTGAGATTATTACAATTTATTCTACACACCTAGGGCTTCGTATCACTTCAGTGATGACTAGGTAATGCCACAAACATATTAAAAGCCACTGGTGAGAAAACAGTCTCAGAATACATGATGTTTGTATGCTTTAGGATGTGATTATCATATTTTTGGATAGACTGTCTTGGCTTCAATTTCAGAGATGCCTTTTTTATCCTCTTTGTAAATTTTCAAGTTCTGCTGAAACTTTGAGGAACTTAGGAATGTTCCTAAGTGGATGTAACTTACCAAACTTTCCTAGTCCAAAACTGGCATTTCTCCAGCATCTTCTGTCTGGCACTTTATAGACAGAATGGGAAAAAACTCACCACGGCCAATTCACCATAGATGACTCCCTGCAGGACAACTCAACAATTCAATTTATTTAAAATAATATTTGTAAAAAGTAATTTTTGTCATTCACATGTCATTTTTGTCATTTTTGTCCTTCTTTCTGCATCCTGTCTTTAATTATTCTATTTCACCATTTCTTCAATATTAGTGTAACCCTTGTCCTGTGGCGAGTTGTCTCATGGTGAATTGGCCAGAGTGAGTTGCCCTAGACCCCTGTATAGAAGTATGTATTAATTCCAAGCAAACGTTTGTGGGAACATTGGTTCTGTTTTGTTATGTTTTATGAATTGCTTTGTTCTGAAATAATTTGCACAGGCACTGACTATTATTACTCTTGTTTAACTAGGTTCATGAAGGTTTTTTTTGTGGTGAATCATCACAAATGTTTTTATGGAAAGACAAGTGTGTTAACATGTTGTCTCCGTATTTTTCATTTATTAAGAGAAAAAGAACAAAGATCTCAAGCATGGATTTCTGGATTTACGTGTCCCTTCAACTAGAATGAATGTAAATGCCCTTGGAGGCAACATTCAGAGTGTTCCCTAAGACATAGTTAGAGAAATTTGCATTGTTGGGACCCTGCTTTGCATTGCAGTATTGCAAAATTGGGAAATTAAAAAAAAAATCCTATATCATGTGGTTTCTCCAATTTGGGTCTAGTTCAGTGATGGCGAACCTTTTAGAGACCGAGTGCCCAAACTTTAACCCAAAACCCACTTATATATTGCCGGGTGCCGGGTGGGCATGGCCGCCGGGTGGGCGTGGCTACAGTGGTCATGGCAGATGGTTGGACATGGCCAGGGTGGGCATGGCCAGCTCAATGTTGCTCCTGGGGAGGGACGCCTGTGAGGGCTGGGCAGGGTTGGGGGAGATCCAGGGGTCTCTGGCAGGTGGGGCGGTGGGCAGGAGGCAGGTTCTGCAGGGTGAGGCGAGGCAGGGTGGGGGTCCATGTCACAGGGCAAGGCGAGGCAGGGGCCGGGGCAGCTGCTGCCTGACACCATCAGCCCCCGCACATAAAGGCCAGCAAGCGCATGGGTGCTGGGATGCATCTGGCCACCTGGGACCTCGGCAAGTTAGCGGGCGGCTGGTTGAAGAGGACGGTTGCCATCACCGGGGCATGGCGTGCGTGCCCACAGAGAGGGCTCCGAGTGCCGCCTCTGGCACGCGTGCCATAGGTTCACCACCACTGGTCTAGTTAGTTTGATCAATCATAATTTACCTGCTTGTTTGAGAGCTCATTATGTAATAAGAACTAACTGCTTCAGCACGGTTGTGACAGAAGCTCAAGAGAAGCATTGCTTCATTTACCAAAATGTACAATTAGAATTTTATTTTAATGGCTTGGGCAATATGGTCTAGAATCTAGATATATAACACAGCCCTCCTTTGTCTCCCAAAAAGAATCAGAAGGTGCACCTGCAACACTAACCTGTCCATCAGAACCTTAGTAATTAAAAAAATGGTCATTTTTATCTAATGTGTCTCTTTGGAACAAGGATCTTAAACACGTCATCATTTTGTTTCCAAAATGATTGCAATTCAAAAGGCTTAATTATGCCCATAAAATTACAAGGAAAGCTTTGTTAATTAAAATATGGATAATAAAATCCAAGACTGAGTTGGGAAGCAAAGCAAGGAAACAGATACAAGTTATGTAGGTGTTATTAATGCTATGGCCATCAGCACTTCACAGTTGGCCTTTTATGTGTTTTTGGGTGCCTGAGCAATTCATGTCTTTGTAATTGAACAGTTAGCCATGAAGCATGAATGGGAAATGCAAGGAATATGAGAACTAAATATACGTGTTCCATGATTTAGAGCAAAATCCATACAAGTACATATTTTAGTAACTAGCTAAATGGTGCAGGGGGCTTGTATTGTTTATGTTTACAGCTATTCTTTAATCTAAGAGATTATTTGAAGAGTTTCCTTTAAGTTAGAAACAGTTCTCAGCTTTTGTAAGATCAGTTAATGGCCAGATGAGATTACTTAAAAATAATAGTCTCTACTGGACTGATGTCTTACATGGGAATTAATATACAATTGAGATCTTATAACTAAAAAGTGTTTAAAAAGAATAATTTCCAAATTTTAAAGAAGTAGAAGAAAGAGAGGCATACCCTCCATAATATTTAGTGGCAAAAATTCGAAGGAAAAAGAAAATGAGAAATGTTTCCATATGTAAATACAAATTGTAGATCAGGGGGAGGTGGTAGATATTTGATGATAGACAGACCTGCCCGGAATTTGCAGACAGAAAGAAAATAAGAGGGCTGTGTGTGTCTTACTGCTTGCTGGTGCTGTTTGTGTGAATCCTGAACCTACAATTGCTGGGGTCTCACGCTTGTTCAGCAAGTCATGTGCTGATAACTCCTTGAAGTAGGCCAGGTCAGAGGCTGCAAGGATTCTAGGAATGCTATTTTGCTGTTGTAGGTATGATAACAGGATCTTGAAAGCCTGTCAGAATTGAACATTTCACTGGATTCTAGTGCTTGTTGGGAAAGCCAATTTGAATCCAACTGTTTGTTCGGAAATAATCTTTCCAAAAGAAGGAAATAAAAGCCAGCTATGTTTGAGTTATAAGCATAAAGACAGAGGTGCTGACTTGACTTCTTCTCATTTCAATAAGTCTTGTGTCTCCCTGCTGCTTTATCAAGTCCCTCATTCAAAACAACAGACTGATGTACGTAGGAAGGGTCTTCTCCCTTGAATCTTTAGCACTCAGACACATTTTTCTGTCCAAATTATTTTCATTCATTAAAGCTTAGTACTTTCTAACTCTCTCCCAGATGAAAATACCCATCTCTTCACCTGCTTTCCAATTCATAGCCAGTCATATTTTTTTCTTGTCAGGATGGCTGGCTGGCTGGTTTTTTGTTGTTGTTGTTGTTGTTTTACATTCATGGCTAGTAAAGAGAAAAGTCACAGAACTCTTATAATTTCTATATTCTGTGCACCTTCTTTTGGTTGTTTTCCCTAATCTTCTTTTCTTCATGTAGATAAACTCACTTGATTTCTCTGGTTTTCCATCCTGAGGTTACCGACATGAATAAAAATTCACTGTACCGTCAATCCATCACAATGTAGTGAAATCATAGGCAGTTACAGCATTTGTGGATATGAAGAGAGAAGAAAAGATTTCATAAAGAACCTAAACATTCTGTGTGGGCCCTGCTGTATTCACAAAATCAAATGCAGAGCCTCAGACGAAGAGGAACATAAAAACAGAAGTTGGAAAATGGATCAGACCTCATTTCTTCAAATTAGATGCATAAATCCTTAATATTGATCTGTTTCTTTGGAGCCCCCTAGGCAACCTAGAAGAGTTCATTAAACCAACCATCATTTCAGTAACAAGCATCACATTACACCATCTCTCTTCATTTTCTTCTGTCAAGTATTCATCTGAAGCCTCCTGCCAGCATAGACAAGGCTGGTTGTAATCCAAGTTTCAGATTAAAACAACAAAAGTATAAAATGCTATGCCAGGAAATTTTGCATTTGGTAGAGGTAATGAAATGTGTGAAATATAATACACAGTAATTCTAAAAAGGGCCAGATTCAATTTTCTAATAAATCACATTTAACAAAATAAAATCCACATTAGCTGCTATTTATTCTTTGCTCACGTTTTGAGCCTTGGTAAGCTCTTTTGAAGTAATGAAGGAAAGTATATAAGCCATGTGATATTTACTATTGATCTATGTTAAGTTAATAAAACACTCCAGGAACAAATCAGTGCAAGGAAAGCAGAGCTTGTCCCTCAAGAATAAGAGAAAGAGGCAATAAGCTTGTCTCTACTTCTAACTGCAGATAAATCCTTGGGCTCAGCCTCCAACATCTCATAGGTTCATTCTTGCAACATTCTTATTCTCAGATGACAGAATCAGTCTGC